GATTCTAATTTTACTATCTGTGCGCATATACGGATTTGACCAGACTATCTCCCTCAGTCATCCTGAAAATGCGGATGCTTTGTTGATCTGACTCTCTAGGTCCTTTACTGGGTCGTGTGTGCTTGATATATCTATGCCCATATATCTGAATTGCATCACTTGTTCTATGGATTTGTTCTCAACAACTAACTTACACTATGCGGATCTTTTCTTATTGTAAGACATTTAGTTGCTGGCAGAAATGGACATATTTAGTTGGCGGTTTATTTGAAAGAACTGAAAGAGCTGTCTCTGAAGACCATCTTGGTCTTCAGAGGGGCTCGCCTTGTCAAATTCCTCCCGGTGTTGGCATATTTTCAGTGAATTAGTTTCCTGCTCTAACTTTGATTACATTGTTGTTATTTAGGTTATGGACCATCTTTTTTATAGTGGGATTTAATTCCCATCAATGGGAATTGTGATGCTCTTATGGAATTCCTCTGGTGTTTCTGTTCATTTAAGATTTGTAAGTAACATGTAAGTTCAGGGACTCCATACTTTAAGAGTTCATTGGGTATACCATCTATTCCAGATGATTTTCTGTTTTTTAACTTCTTGATCTTTGCTTCTACCTCTTCGTCATTTATTGTAGCACTTATATCTGTTTCGTATTCGTCTATATTCAGCGTTTCCTCAGCATCATATAGTTCTTAAAAATGCTGTTGCCATGTCTCTATAGGTACTCTTTTGGTCTGCACGAACTCGTTAACTGGTTTTTTTCTGTTCCGAAGCATTTTCCATACTTTCTTTTCGGCACCATGTAGGTTGTAGTCCATGTAGCTGGTGAATTTAGCCCAATGTTCCCTTTTGATTGATTTTCTTCTTGCTTTTACTTCGTTTCTTACTTGGACATATTCTGCGAGAGCTTCTTCCGATTGTGTGCTTTTATATCTCAGGTAGCATTTGCGTTTTAACTCAGAGAGTTCTTTTACCTCTTAACAAAACCACGGTTTGGTGTGGTTTATCCCCCTCATGTTAATATTCCGCTTTCCAATTGCTCCTTCTGCTGCTTGGTTGATGCATTTCCTGATTTTTTGCCAAGTATCTTCTACTCGCCATTCTGGTTGTAACTCGATCTCTTTTAGTTTGCTGGTAATCCTGTTCTCATAAAGGAGTTTTGTACTCTCTGTTGCTAGCGACTCTACATTGTGTTTTGCATTGGGCGTTTTCTGTTTCGTTGCGGACGTTCTAGTAGCATCTTGCATAAAACAAGGTTGTGATCAGTCCCCAGGTTAGCAGATGTTAGGGCTCTGACATCAAGTACTTGTGACGGTGTTATCACTCGATTTGTGATTATAAAATATATCGTTGATCGCTGGCCTCGATTATTGTTAAAAGTGTATATGTTGGTCTTTATGAGGAAATTATGTGTTGTTGATTCTCATTTCATTTCTAGCGCAAAAGTCTATTAATGCTTCGCAGTTTTCAATAATTATTTCTTCGTTGTACTTTTGTTTTATTAAAAATTCTCGTATTACATCGTTTCCGATCCGTGCATTAAGATCCCCGAATACGATAATCTTGTGTTTATCATTTATGCTATCTACGGTGTTTTGTAGTTGGTGATAGAAATTTTCAGTTTCTGCTATGGACTTAGATATGTCTGGAGCATATGTGCTTATTAGGTGTTTTGTGATGTTACGCATTTTTATAGAGATTTTTAATAACTTATCGATGATGTATTCGATATCTTCGATGCTTTGAGTGTATTTATCGTGCAGCAAAATTCCCACTCCTGAATGTGTTCTTTCTTGTTTAGCCTTTTCCGCTGTATATAAGTGTAAACTCTCCGTATTATGTTTCGAACGTTATGTTCCAGCACGCGATTTGTGTGATGGAGTGTTTAGGCATACGCGTACGCGTCACAATACAACGATTTTCTTTAACAGTGTTGACAAAGTACATATTGATAGCCAACGTTCGTCGTGAACATGGACTTAAAGAAGAAGATCGGATATTGGCGAGGAGCTTTTATATATCTAGTCTCCCGAAGTCCCAAGGATTTGTATAATAGTTAATGGAATATGTAAAATAAACTATTTGGCTGCAGTACAATAGGTATATAGCAGACGCTTTTCAGAAAAGGAAAAAATGGAAGCATTACTAGCAATGGTGACCAAAATTAGAAATGGGAAATTTTTCTTAATAATTTACATACACCTAGCAGCGGCGACTCGTGGCTTAAAAAAGTGGTGAAAATGAGGAAACCTTGTTGGAGCCAAAAGGAATTTTGGTTCCTACGTCGCACTCAAATCTCATTAAAAATTGGTTAAAAAGAATGTATAGAGTTTAGGGCCCTAACAACTTGAAAACAGTTTTTTTAGGGCACTTATACTAGATACGATTCGTTCTGCTGACCTGAGGCATTTTAGTTCTGAACCTTGACATTTCATCGAGGGTTTTTTTGGCGATTAAAACACCACGCCTGGTAAAACGGTTTGTTGAGAATCGAGTCAGCCGCCCACTCTGGGTCAGATGCTGATTGCAGCCGATCACTTTGGATCAGACGCTGCAGTGTTTACTGGTTTTGGTCCCACCCCGAGTATTTCATTTCCCTGGTACCACCTACATCAGGATGAAAAATGTCGTTAAAAACTGTTGCTAAAAATGTGAACTCAAAATCAATTAAATCTCTTAAAACCAAATTACTACTTATAACTGGGAATAAGCCACATTAAAGATAAAAATATATTTATTGACGTTTCAATTTCCAATTCGGAAATCGTTCTCAAAATACAAATAGTAAATTAAACAAATTTTGTTTTTTGTTACATAGTGAAAAAATTCTTCTGATAATTTAATTTTATCTGACTCATTTATATTGACAATTCAGACATACATTATACATTTTAAAGTAGACGACTTTAAAATGATATTGCCAATATTGTTGAGTTGCGCTCCTGGGACGACTTTACTTATAAGATAGTTCATTCGATTACATGAAATCAACTTTAACTTGAGAATATCCGTCAGAAAAAATCATAGCATGTAATTCGTCTTTAAAAAGACAAACACATGACATGATGACAGTAAAATTTTCCTGTTAGTGATTCCATAGTAAATTATGAGGGAAAAACCAGGAAAAAAACCTCATAATACTATCCCGACATTGTAAGTATTTGTTCGTGAATTTAGTTTATCTTCAACAAACATCAAAATTCTGATTTTATGTTACGTTATTTAAAAAACATAAATGATGTATCCTCTATATGTTACTGACTTACTAATACTGGTATTTTCTTATTAATAACTTCCTCTTTCAATATTGGTAACCAGATCCTACTACATTCTGCCGAGGAATTTGCGACACAATTGGCCTCATTTAGCATAATTAGAGCCGCTTCTTTGATTTTTCTTTTTTTACCATCCGTTTCTTTTAGGACTATATTTGAATTATTCCATTGAACTCTATGTTCATTATCCCATGCGTGTTTACATATTTGAGATCTATCAAATTCTCTATTTTTAATATAAGATTGATGTTCACTTATTCTAACATTTAATGGCCTTGATGATTCACCTAAATAAAACTGATCGCATTCACAAGGTATTTTATAAATGCAATTCTTTGTCCTTTCTTGTTCATTGTTAGGTTTGGTTTTGGACAAAATAGATCTCAACGTGTTTGTTGTTTTGAATGTTGTTGAAATGTTGAATTTATTTAAATAAATTCAACATTTCAACAACATTCAAAACAACAAACACGTTGAGATCTATTTTGTCCAAAACCAAACCTAACAATGAACAAGAAAGGACAAAGAATTGCATTTATAAAATACCTTGTGAATGCGATCAGTTTTATTTAGGTGAATCATCAAGGCCATTAAATGTTAGAATAAGTGAACATCAATCTTATATTAAAAATAGAGAATTTGATAGATCTCAAATATGTAAACACGCATGGGATAATGAACATAGAGTTCAATGGAATAATTCAAATATAGTCCTAAAAGAAACGGATGGTAAAAAAAGAAAAATCAAAGAAGCGGCTCTAATTATGTTAAATGAGGCCAATTGTGTCGCAAATTCCTCGGCAGAATGTAGTAGGATCTGGTTACCAATATTGAAAGAGGAAGTTATTAATAAGAAAATACCAGTATTAGTAAGTCAGTAACATATAGAGGATACATCATTTATGTTTTTTAAATAACGTAACATAAAATCAGAATTTTGATGTTTGTTGAAGATAAACTAAATTCACGAACAAATACTTACAATGTCGGGATAGTATTATGAGGTTTTTTTCCTGGTTTTTCCCTCATAATTTACTATGGAATCACTAACAGGAAAATTTTACTGTCATCATGTCATGTGTTTGTCTTTTTAAAGACGAATTACATGCTATGATTTTTTCTGACGGATATTCTCAAGTTAAAGTTGATTTCATGTAATCGAATGAACTATCTTATAAGTAAAGTCGTCCCAGGAGCGCAACTCAACAATATTGGCAATATCATTTTAAAGTCGTCTACTTTAAAATGTATAATGTATGTCTGAATTGTCAATATAAATGAGTCAGATAAAATTAAATTATCAGAAGAATTTTTTCACTATGTAACAAAAAACAAAATTTGTTTAATTTACTATTTGTATTTTGAGAACGATTTCCGAATTGGAAATTGAAACGTCAATAAATATATTTTTATCTTTAATGTGGCTTATTCCCAGTTATAAGTAGTAATTAATTTACAATGCCACAAGAAAATAGCTTCAGAACTCTTAAAAACCCTTTAGCTAGCTGAACTGAATTGTGGTCTGACTCTTCAGAAATCATTATGTTATCAGAAACCTCTTAATTTTTCTCAATCTTTAATAATTACACTGATTAATTTTGAAATAGACGACCATCTTTTCTCTGTAATTGTTGGCATACGTCTAGCCGATGTAGATGCAAGAGCGTACGATCGTTTTGCTGAACTATGAAAAAACGATGGGATTTCGGTACTAGTTGCAAAAAAAATTCAACATTTTGGTATTTCCTTCAAGTTCTGTTGCAAAATAAGATTAAGTCGATGGGCTAGATAATGCACAAAAATTGCTTGTGGGGCATGTGGCTTTTGTTGAAGTCCATTTAAGTGCACTGATATCACACTGGCTCCATCGTAACACTGTCCTACAAGATTATGTCTGTATTCCAAAGGCTCTAAAACTGTCACAGCCATAGTGAACAAATGCTCAGCTGTTCTACCGGCACCTACATCGTAAAATCCCATAAACCTTTCAATTAATAGTCCTTGAGAATTTGCGCATCTTAATATTATTGAAGACTGCGACATCTGCGTTATGTCAGTAATATCATCAATTTGGAGGGAAAAAATGGACTGTTTTTAATTTCAGTTATAATATTATCATTTATGTAACCAGAAATGCACTCAATTAATTTATTTTGAATTGTTTTTGATCCTCCACTAAAAACATTTTTGATTTATTCGTAATGATTTTTAGTTTCCAAAGGGCTTTGAACAATTAACAGATTTAATAACTCCTTAAAACTAACGCTGTTACTGAGTCACTTTTCTCATCATGTCCCCTAAAATACAACTCTTGTTTGCTGAGGTACAAAACGGTGTCAATAACTGTCCGCAAACAAATCCTGTTTAGTCAAACATTTTTATTAAAATTTAGTTTATGCAATCTAGCGTTTTCTTTTAAGGCA